TCTTGTCTGGATTAAGTTTCAATTTATTAACCCTCATCCAGTCCATTATCAGATCCAGACAAGAGTTCAGCACAGAAACCGCCTCACCTATATTGGTGGGAAACGAGAGGTAAGAGCTGAGTGTTGGCAGCATATTGTTGATTCCTCAGCCCAAACTTCTTGATGACCTCTCCCAGCGGTTCCATGTAGATGTTAAACAGCATGGGGGACAGTATCGAGCCCTGAGGAACCCCATGACATAACTCCCATGGGGCAAAGCAACTGTCCCCCAGCACCACTCTCTGGGCACGGTCAGCCAGGAAGGAGCAGAACCACCGTAAAGCGGTGCCCCCAACTCCCAACCCAGCCAGTCTATCCAGAAGGACACCATGGTTGATGGTGTCGAAACCCGCTGAGAGGTCCAGGAGTATCAACAGGGTCACACTCCCCCTGTCTCTCTCCCAGCAAAGGTCATCGTACAGGGCGACCAAGGCAGTCTCCGTACCAAAACCCAGCCTGAAACCCAATTGAAATGGATCCAGAAAATCCGGCTAATTAGTATTTCCAAATGGAAGGCTGCTAATGTGGGAGGAAATGAACTTTTGCATACACATGTTTGGACACTGGTGCCAAGCGTACCTTGTACTCACTACTAAATCAATTGTACTGTAGCATTTTCTTTCATGCCTAAGAGCTCTTGAGACCATCCTTTCCTTCCTATTTGTTTCTCTGTTCCCTACTGTCCCCCTTGCCTCCTTTTGTCTGTTCTTTAGAGATAGATCTGTATCTTCACAGAAGGTAAAAGGAAGGACCACAAACATGAACTGTAAATAAAACCTTTATCCAAGAAGAATCCAAACAGATCATTTCCCTTTTCTGAGGGAAGGGGTGAGACTGGGCAGTTCCCTCCATACTTTTCTCTGCACCAAAAAAAAAAAAAAAAAAAGGAAAAAAAGGAATAACCAAATTCCAAATCCTTCCAACACCCAACACTACAACTCAGAAGACATTGTGCAGAGATTCTTTTCTCCTTGATGTGTTGTTGCTACTTTTACAGTCATTGCTTTTGCAGTAACAACATGGTAGAAAAAGGGCGAGGGGAAGCACTGGATGTCCACAAGTGCATTGTGGCAACCTCCGGAACATTCCCCCTTCTCTTGCAAAATTCAGTGAAGGATACAGGATGACAGGAATAAAAGCCTTATCTGGTGGGATGGCATTAGATGTTCAGGATCGCCTACTACTGTGTTTCCCCTGAAATAAGACCGGGTCTTATATTAATTTTTGCTCCAAAAAACTCATTAGGGCTTCTTTTCAGGGGATGTTTTAGTTTTTTTCATGTATAACAATCTACATTTATTCAAATACAGTCATGTCATCTTCTGCCCACTGCACAAGGGTGGAGGGCAGGGTTTCACTTCACTAGGGCTTATTTTGGGGTAGGGCTTATATTACGAGCGTCCTGAAAAAATCATACTAGGGCTTATTTTCAGGTTAGGTCTTATTTTAGGGAAAGCAGGGTATATAGTGTAAAACACTTACGCCACTCTAGCAAAACTCAGAGCAGTGGCACACAGGAAATGATAGAATGATTTTTGAAAAACCCTCACAAATGTCGCGTACAGGTGGAACATAATGTTTTGCCCAGAACATTTTTATGCAAGTGTCTAATAAAAGTATATGTCCTTGTTTGGAAACCTTGGGAGGAAAGTCTGTCAAAGCCCTTTCCTTTAAAACTCTGAGACATATAGACTGAAGCAGTCCCCACATGTTGCTGACCCCTCCAGTCAAATGCACAAGCTCAATAAACCTCGTATAAACAGTCTATTTGTCTCCTTGTCACAGGCGACAAGAGACGTCTGTCAAGCCCTTGGCAGTCCATAAGACGCGTTTGGCTGACAACAAAAGAGGAGCTATCATTATCTGAGCACTAGTCAAAAGCATTTGTTTTTAGGCAGAAATGTTAAAACAGCCAAAGCATAGTAAACACTGAAACACGGCTCTCTTTAAAACGTCACCAGGGCAACAAAGCCAGCTCTCCGGATTTTTCTATGAAGCCATTTCTCGGTGCAATGGCACCATTCTTTTCCAATGGCAGGCTGATCAGAGAGGCAAGCCCATAGGGCCACAGTGTGTAGGTAGGCCTTTACTCACAGTATTCTAGGACAAGCTAACAAAGGGTCCTTTTCTTTTTTTTTTTCTCCGCCTCATCCCACCACCACCACCACCACTCTAGGTGTATCTTCATTGCACAGCAACCGTCAGCACTTGCCTACGTGTGCCCGGCAATGGCTTTCGCCACAAACAGTGTCCTTCTGAAAGACCGCTTGGTAGGTGTTCCATTGAAAATCCAGATGCCATCCAGTCACTGTACATTAGAGCTTAATCTACTGTGAAGGAATTTTGTCTTATCGCATCAACCCGTAAATGTGATGTTAAACGTTGGGGGGGGCTATCAGCTTTTTCTGACTGTGCTAGTAAATACCTGTCCCCTGATTTTGGGGATATTTGACTCCTCTCTCTTTTTGATACTTCAGATCAACATTCTGTCGTTCATCCTGCTTGCCAGGGTTACGCAGTAACTGGACCAATCTTCGTCCTTCATTCTGCAAAAAGTGAGCAGCAATGAGAGCTGGTAGGTAGAAGGGCTGAATATTCTATTCTATTTTATATTAATTGTTCATTTGTTTGAGTTTTATACCGCCCATCTGGTTGCCAAGACCACTCTGGACAGTTTACACACTAAACAAATATAACATCAATTAACGATAAGCATAATAGTTGTTGTGGGTTTTTTGGGCTCTTTGGCCGTGTTCTGAAGGTTGTTCTTGTCAAGGATTTGGCGAAAGGAAAATGTGCAGAGTTATTGAAGACACTTACAAGTTCTTCTTCTTTTGCAAGACGGTTGTATTTACAGTATTTACAAGTATTTACAGGCAGGCATCACATCAGCATGGCAGGACATCATTACACAAACGGACATAGTGGATTGCAGCAAATGGTGGAGAGAGAAGAGAATGATACATATACACTGTTCACTTATATACATATACATGGCATCTCTAGTCCAATCAGAAGACACATGACTTCATCTTCTGCACCTGGTGTCTTCTTATTTCCAGACATTGCATCATCTTCAGAGTGACTCAGCATACTCACATGTGTGCACAATGGCAGCTCGTTAATAATACATTTATTCAGGTTCAGGCCTCCAAAATTTCTATATTCTGACAGTTCTTCCTAACGTTTCGCCAGTCTCTGTGGCCGGCATCTTCAGAGGACAGCACTGAAGATAAGCATAATAATTATAAAATCAAAATTAGATACTTATACAACAAATTTAACTGAAAATAATTAAAATGAAATGGAGACAAGGCGCCAGGACTAATAATATAAACATTAAAACAACCACTGTTTTAGGATGTCCAGAAAGGCCTGCCTAAAAAAACCATGATTTTAGTTTTAAAGTTCCCAGTGAAGGAGTCGGGGAGAGTTCAGGCAGGAGGTTGTTCCAGAGTTGGGGAATACACAGGAGTGTTAAGAGCCATTGAGTATGCGGGAGGAAATAACACCTTCACTCATCGGTGTGGATAATCTGACACAGTCCTGCAGTTACATGTGCTAAATCAGCAGTCCCCAACCTTTTTCAGTCCATGGACTGGCTGGGGAAGGCAGGGCAGCCCTCGTGCTTGTGCACATGCATGAACAAGCGCTCTCTCTCGCTCTCTCTTGCATGAACGTGAACACCCCATGTGAGCGGCGCACCACCATTTGCACATGCACGTGCATGCTCGTGTGCATGTGCAAGCGGTGGCACAGCACTTGTCTGGGCATGCTTGTGCTCGAGCGCATGTGCAAACGGCAGCACAGCACTCGGTCGAGCGTGCTGGGCACAGGTGCAAACAGGCTGTGTGGGGGTGAGTGCATGCGGGGGGGTGAGGTGGGAGATCTGTCTCAGTGGCCTGGTCCGGCACTGGGCCGTGAACTGAGGGTGGGGGTCCTCTGTGCTAAATCACATTTATCTATAGTTGTAGGTACCTGTTCTACGTAGAACTGTAGAATAGTTGTTCCCCCCCCCATTACTTCAATATTAGCCCATGACCAAAAGCTGTTTGTGCAAACACTCATGGAAGTGAGTCAGAGGTGACTGCAATTCACAAGAATTGTGCAGGCACAAAACAGAATGAAACTTAAATGTTGAGGAAAACATGGTGTTCTGTAAGGCCTGCCTCTACTATTGGAGGGCTCTTTTTGAAATGAAAAGGAAACAGACCTCAGTGCCCTAAAGACAGTAATGATCGGCCATCTTAACTTTCGACGAGTGCCTCTGAACCCTACAGGATGGCCCCTGACCGCTGCTTGTAGCTTTGCCTTTGCTTCTCGCTAAGCACAAAGCTGCTTCCTAATGCTCCTCCCTGTCACCGAAAAGTAACATCAGTGCTGTATGTAACAGCAGGTATGTGGCATGAAGCACATATTTTATTCATTGATTGATTGTTTTTTGAAAGGGCCCAAAACTGCCTTAGTACTTTTTGGGACAGATTAATTTACCCAAAGCAGCCACATCTGCTCAATCAGAGGCCTGTATTTGCCATCACAGGTAATAAATTAGAATCACATGCACTGAGCACCTGATATTTAATGACTCAATTATGAGAGAATACAATAATCCTAGGATAAGTGTGGGTGTTGGTCTAATAGCTACTCATCTGCATAAATGGGCAAACTTAATGTTTCTTTTCTCTTCCAGGTATAACTTTATATTCTAATTGCCACGGGTGGCCTCCAGATGCAGTGTTATTACCGGGGACGAGTTAAAAGGTCCATATCACACTTGCTTCTTATTTTGTCAAATAAGATCATAAATAAAAAGCAGGAGGTGCAGTCTGTGAGTGGGCCCTAAGTCCAATGTAGAATTAAACATGAGAGAAATTTCTTCAGTAGTATATTTCATTGTGGGGAAAGAAAACGTTATCCATTCCACTGGACCATTATGAGAAAATCACAGGGTATACAAGCCACTGCCGCGGACAGGCTGCGACCAAAAATGTTGTATTAGATGTCAGGAAACGCAAGCTCATGTCCAGTGATGGCACAACTCTCTTGCTGCCCGAGGTAGGAGGAGGTGCCCAGCAACAAACACTCATGGAGGAAGGACAGGAATGAAAAAGAGGTGGTTTCACTGCAAGGTCTCCTTTCCGTGAACTGTCTCTTGCCTGCTTCTATAGCATGCCCACTCCGCAGTGGGACAGTGCCTGGCTCTAAAGGTCATCAGGATGAGGCATTTTAGAAGGATGGTCAAAATCCTTCTAAAGCCAGCCCTCCCCCCCCACACACACACACCCAGGTTTAGGCTCTAGAATTGTCGGAGCCAAGCGTTATCCAAAGACCTGGCCAGAAACAGCCGTGCTACAAAAGGCAGCCAGTGATTTGAGAAAAGGTGGCGGCGGCTCTGCTCTGGCCCCTCTGTGCAACTGCCCCACCCTTACTAAGGACAGGCCCAGCCTCTGCTCAGAAACCTTTTTTTTGCTCCTGATTAGCATTTTAAACAAAGCTATTATCATATGTAGAAATGATATCCATGCATAATACATTATGTGGCCTTTCGGGTGAAAAGAACCAGACTTTCTCATACCGTGCATTTGTTCATAGAAAGAAAAATATATTATTTGTATCTACTCAGGTGTGCACTGAGCAGGGAGATGGCCGGTGTTAACCCGCAACAGTTCCACGGCAACGTACGTCCTTTGACTAACACCTATTTAACTTCTCTCCCTATTATGTGAGGGCAGGGCAGACAGAGGAGTTGGCTGTCAAGCTGAGTTGCTTTCTACCCCAGCCTCCTAGGTGTACATGTAGGCCAAACTAGCCCAAAAGAATAAAACGTTTTGGGTGATACAGTGAAACACTCCCAGACATTTGTAATAAAATCACTAGACAATAGTCTTACTGTTTTATATAATGAAGAACAGATCATAGAAAACATGATATATTCCAACCTAGTTCCTGACAAGGATTTGCTCATGTGTGAAATGCATGAAACAAACTGCATCTTTGCCTAAGTTTTCAGCTTTACTGTTAGGAATACTAACAGTGTCTAAAACTATCCTAGCCAAAGGAGAGTCTGCCAGCCTTCCACGCTTGCAGCTGCTTCCTTTACTGCTCCAGTCCCAGAACTGTAAAACATCCTGCCAGAATTCTTGCATGCACTCAATAATTTAATGGCTGGGCAGGCTTACAAAGCTGTGATCACCACACCGACATCAGCATCTTCCCATAAAGTCTTTCCAGCTTATTGTCTGTCCCTGAAAAGTAGAGGGCTAACATCACTTGGGAGCCACGTCCGGAAAAGAAATTTCACCAGTATTCTCCTATTACTCATTCTGTATTAGCTTTACAGCCTAGTTACCATTAATCAGCATGGAAGAGCCAGTGTTATTGGGTGGCTGCATTTGTCTAATGCCATGGCTGTGAAACATTACCTAATTGGAAACAAATCTGAAAAGTTACGAACACCATCTTATTCTGTCAAACCAACTTTATTCTTAATGTATGTGCTGAAGAACTCTTTGCAGTCTGAGCTTCATGAATGTGCCCTGTGCTGTAGAACAGAAACAGCTGCGTATCACAAGTAGATAGCGAGTGCCGATCCAGACTCTCTCAACAGTGGGATACAGTATTTTGTTCATGTCATATAAAGTGAAGTCAGTAATACATTGCATAACACTGCTTTCCATAGCGCTGATCTCCTATAGCGTGCATGCTAGGGATGGCCTGTACACATATACAGACATGTAGACCACGAAATGGTGACCCAGAACATGCACACTCTAAGCAGAGAGATAAAGCAGAGGACTTAGTTCCTGGTACTGTATGAGAACAGAAATTGAGCCTGATCATCCCCACCAGTTATTGTCCCTTTACATGGAGCCCTTTGCCTCTCTGCAATCAACACAGGATCACACTCCTCAACCAATGAGCAGTTGGGAGGATCGGCCTCACTTTCTGTTCCAGTACTTGGAACTGGCAAAACCAGGCATAATGTTAAACTGCTCCATTTAGCACTGATGCAGTGAGTGCTCCATTTTCTTGGAACTTACCCTGAGCATTAAGTGGGATGTTACTGTATTTAGAGTAATAATAAAATTATTTGGACTTCCTTGCTGGCAAAGCTGAAATAAAAATCAAACTCATCTTCATCATCTAGGAAACTTGAACTTTTTGGACACTCCTTTGGCATTCTGTAATCTTTGGACATGTCTGACGGAAATACTTAGGAACAAAGATCATGAACATGACTGCTAAATGGAGCTTACAAACACCAAAGGTCCAGCCAGTCTGACCTATCCTGATTTTCCAGTGATTTCTAAAATTGTGTTGTTCGAAAGAATTGCTGGAGTGCAGAAATGGAATAACTGATGTTATCAGTTAAAGAGATTTAAAATGTTTTAATTATCACTTGAATAATGCAGCAGAATGGAAAGCAATACAAATCATGGAGCACCTAAGCAAATGACTTCATTATAACAAAGGCATATCTTGGGCATCATGGCTCAACCATTCTTAAGCACAATCCCACTGATCAAAATAAGAACCATGCATGTGTGTAATTGGGCTAAATGACTCAAATTACACAGAATACAGGATTTCCCCCCTTCCTTAGCAAATTTTAAAATCTTGCATAATTGGTAGTCAACACCTAGATTCATACTACTGCTTTATTAGCACTGCTCAGCAATTCTGAATGTAAACGCTTAATATATACAATGCGCACCTGAGGGTTAATATACAGCTTTTATTCCATTCTGCCATTACAAAACACTTGCAATAAAAAGAATCTGCATCTCAGTTCAACAGATTAACTAATTTAAAGCTTCGCTGTGTCTTCATTTGATCAGACAATAAAATCTTAAGTTAACATAATGTTCCACTGCAATAGAATTTCAATAGTTTCTTTTTAATTTTTCTTCTTTATCAAGGATAGTCTGTTTTAAACTCAAAGAGGCATCTTCGAAGTTAGGGTTTAGCTCTAACACCTTCTTGAAGTCTTTCATGGCTTCATCAAAGAATCCTGTCTCAAGAAAGAAAGAAATTGATGCTTTTATCTTATTTTACATATTGAGACAGAAGAATAATAATATATTTTCCATAAAACAATTTATGCTTTATATACTTTCTAGGGTGTAAACCCCACTGAAAAGAGTGGGATTTACCTTTGAGTAAACATATACACTGCCTATCACACTGAAATAAATTCTAAATTTAATCGTCTCTTTGTCTTACACCTACCACCACCACCTTCCATCCAGCTATCTTGTTTGAAAAAGGGTTAGGGAACTGAGAGAGCACCTTAACAGAGCATGCATATGGATATTTTCAGCTGTGGAGAACTCAACAGAGAGAGGATCCTAGTTTATTTTCTTGCTGAGCAGCTGGGAACACAGTAAGCTTTAACTAGGGAGGTGATGGGAGATTAGGACCAAATGTAGTATTTCATAATGAGCTCAGCATGGCTAATTCTGCATATTATAAATTCATCTCACATTTTAATCCAGGCTGTTTTACATTACAATTTTCATTTATTCACTGCACTCCAATGAAAGTCATTGATCTTCCTCTGTATCTTTACTTCATACATTATATTCCCAATGTATATGCTGTCATTTAAATTAATTTACACTCTCACCAACTGTGACAAATACCGAACCTCATTCTTGGTGTTAATAGCCGTTTCAGTGCCTTGGGCCCTTGTCTACACTGGGTGCCTAATGTCATACAAGCTATACTAATTCGAGATACCAATTTAATTCATGGACCAAATTAAAAGAAGCAATGCCATGTATATATCAACTCTATCCTGTGTGGATTTTTGTTTGGATATCTGGGTTATCTGTTTGCACAACAACATGAATCTGTGCAAAGTGGTAGAAAGTAAAACAGACTGACAGGAAAGTTCAGGTAATCAGGGTATCAGACACAAATTTTACCTGAGGCTGATCTCTTAATTCTGTAACAGCTGCTATATCCTCTCCTCATAAAACTCTAAGAGCCCAATCATGATGGGGGGGGGGGAATAGGAACAGGATACCTTTTACAAAGAAAAGCTTTTGAAAATTTGAAAAACTGCCCTTCTCTACAATGGGTAGTGGTATTCCATAAAAAGTGCCAAAGAATCCATACTTTAGAAGTACCACACTAAAAAGGGAATGTGATGCATGTAAACTTAAAATGCACGGACAATGCTACTGTGGTTTTGTAATACTTGTTATTTCTGCTGAGTTAAAGTTAATGAAACGGCTTAGGAGAGATGTTATGCTCTTTTCTGGAAAGCAGAGGTGGGTTGTTGTTTTTCTTCAAAGAAAGGACATATAATGGCAAACGGGCTTCTGTATCAACAAATTCCTTAACAGTAATATATCCCTGCAATGCACAGCTAAAGGACAGAATCAGGTGCATGGCAAGGCACAATCTTACTTCATATAGAACTACAAACAAGTCTAAGGAGTTCACTGTTAACCTCGCAAAACCTTCTCCAAAATCTTCCTAGGTGTTTCCAAACAGTATAGGAAAGCTTCCCTTAAGGACATAAAATTTATTTTAAAACTACTAGAATCTGGTCTGAAAATTATCAAATGAAAGATTATCACAAGAAGATATATTCAAACAGACAATAAAAAACTGAATTCCATACCTAATCTATATAATATTAAGCCTCTGTTGTAATATGGGACTTCAAAATCAGGCTTGGCTTCTATAGCTGCTGTATAATCATCCATTGCTTCATAGAAGTCAACTCTCAAATACTTGATCTGTCCCCTGTTGTTAAGAGCTGTGGCCAGATCACAGGAGTCTTTGCTTGAAGACAAGGAGGGGAAAACAAGAAGATATTTCACAAGTATTAGCGTAACCTTCTTGAGTTGCCTTAATAGGACATGCCAGGGAACATTTGCTGCATTAAAACAAAGATCAGTGAATTAAAATGAATTATAAAAATCATGCAGTTATTTTTTAAAGTTTCAACCATATTTTAAAATAATTCCAGGAGTATAAACCTAGGGAAGGATACAAATGAATTCCTTCCATGGAAATCACTGTCTTGCGAAAACCAGTTCCACATTGGAATGCATTGAAATCTATTTAATGCGTTCCAATTGGGGGGGAAATCAATGTCTTGTGAAAAGTGTCCATAGAAGAACACAGTTCCCCATACCATATTGGGGAAAAACAATCCCCTCACCTGCACTGCCTTTGGAAATGCAATGGGTCTCACATAGCCTTCCTCCTCTTTGTCTCTCTAGCAACGAGGATGAAAGCAACTCTCTAGCAACAAAGAAAGAGGATGAAAGCAGTCAAAGCAACCCCCTGGCTCTTGATCATGGTACCTCCGTTTGCCCTGGTCCTTTCAAATAAGAGAAAAAAAGAAAAAAATGCAATATAAGACATCATCAGGACTTACTATCTTTGCAATAGGTCCTGGTGGAGAGAAAGAAACATGAAAAAATCTAGAAAAACCAGGGAAATATCAAGTACAATTTCCCATTAATGCAAACTATGAAGTTAAAATCCCCATATTTAAAAAGATCACACAGATCAACAAGATACCCAAAGTACAATGGATGACCCTCCTATTAGAAAAACCACCTTTTTGATATGACATTTCCACTGCCAAGTATGAGTTGGAATAGCCCTTGT